CTATAGAATTCTAGCCTACAGATCATTTTATCGAATTTGGAAAGAAGTTGCACCTCATATTCGGTTCATGACTCAGGTATCTGATCTATGTGATAAATGTGAACAACTTCATGCTAAAATTCGAGTTACTAATGATATTGAAAATAGGCAAAGGCTTCAAGCTGAGTATAATCTTCATCGTGCAGCTGCAACAGTTGAACATCAGTATTATAACGAAAATATCAATATTAGTAAACAACTAATGTTTAATATTGTACATATCTGTTATGACTAGGCTCAAAACGTTCTAATTCCTCATTTACCACGGCAGCCTGGGAGGTTATTTTTTAGATCATTATTCAACGTTCATGTTTTTGGAGTTGCTAACACTAGTTTAATAACACAAAGAAATTATTTAATTGGTGAACATCAATTGGCAATGAAAACACCTAAAGGCGCCAATACTACTCTCAGCCTAGTATATAATAGTTTACTTAACTGGAATCTGACGCAAACATATCTAAAAATTACATGTGATAACTGTGGGACCAGAATAAAAATAATCTTACTCTTTGGTTTTATTCATGGCTTACTATGATCAAATTCTTTGATGTAATTGAACTTAATTTCATGATTCCCGGTCATACCAAGTTCATTTGCGACTCATATTTTGAAATTATTAAATCCCAATATCATAAACATAATGTTATGAGCATAGACCATGTTGAAACAATCGTCAATCAAGCAAAAAAAGATGGGAGTAACGTAGCAGTTAGATATGACAAAAATGATCAAATAGGATGGAATTATTATGATTTTGAAACTTTTTTCTCACCTTATTTTATTAAATATGATGGTATATGGGCATTTCGGCACTTTTATTTTTATCATGATAAACCTGGAAAGGTTTTTATGTCATTAGAGGCTAATGGTTTAAAAACTGAAGCTAAGATTCGAAATAATATTAACTTTGATTTATACAAACCTTTAGACATAATCCTCTTAAAACCTTTATCTTTAAAACGTCAAACATATTTATTTAAAGAGGTTCATCCATATATACACGACCCTTACAAAGATAAATTGTGTTTTGCTCCAAATGAGCATGATAGTAAAAAGCATAATTAAACTTTCTTACTCTATAACGAACGATATGTATATGTATGTAGATCACCCCTTAAATAAAGATTTCTAAATTTAGAATATAACGCCGGATTAAATAAAAAAACTGCGTACAAGATTGTACCAAATTATTATATACCAACAAGTATCCAAACTTTTACCACGAATTAAGCACAAACTTGGGAATATAATCCGCCAAAAATCTCAATTTCGGTTAAAACCTCTCTAAGCCCCGATTTGCTAGGCAACAACCCATATCGTAAATTTTTACTCTGTAACTTTTTTGGGTGGTGATTTAACCCCGGCGTTATTTCGAGGTTTGGCCCGAATTAAGCTTAATTTAGGCCGAAATTTGTAATTTCACCCCTGCGCGTTATTTCGCGGTAATACGGTAGAATGTTTTATTAAAACTGTAGGACTCCATAGTCAAAAATAAGATCTAATTCTCGTCTGTATAAAAAAATTAGCTTAGAAATAAGTTGATTTTATCGGGTTTTGAGAAGTTATTACTATACTAACTTTTTTAAACGGACGAGAATTAGATCTTATCTTTGGCTATGGAGTTCTACAGTCTAATGAAACCTTCTATACAGTTTTTTTATTTCATTATGATTAGTTTTCGTTTATGTAAATTAAATTGAATGTCGCGGCTAATGCTGAAATTGGCTGATGCTGAAATCTAGGGCCTCGATTTGAAAATATAAGCCCTGCCAGAATCCACATATTCTCTTTAATTATCAATTCTATCCCTAAAAAAAAAGCGGGAAAAACACCCAAAAAAAATTATAACAAAATAGGTTCAAATTTCAGCATCAGCCGTGACATTGGATTTATTAGCCATCAGACAAACTTCTTATCCGCAATCCGAAATATATTTCGGATCCATCCGCCTAAAATTGACGGATAAGGATATCCACATTTAATCCGAATTATCGGATCAATCCGAATTAGTCGGATTGTGGATCGAAGCATTACTTAGCGTTATGATTATTTGAATTGTTACCCGGTTTTGATCTTGCAATACGGGTCAGTAAACCGAAAAAAAAAATCTATTTCAAAACTAATCTTTAGCAATAAATTTAGCACTAATCGATTAATTGAAGTGACCTTTCACTGTTTTACATTATCAGTTTGACAAAATCTGTACTATCGTTGACGACTGTTGCATCCATTTATTACGTTGCGTAATAAATTATATTTGATGTTACAATTACCAACGAACAAGACATTTAACAACACTGACTTTACTGTGATTCTTGACACAAGTTTTGATTAGTTAGATATGATGCACCCCATCGTTTATAGGCGTGTAAAAGAAATACACATGAATTGCGGATGCAAGACTATATCAATATAATCTGATGTCTAACTTTTACATAATTGCCACATTTCATATCTATCGCACTATGATGATGTACACCATCTGACCACCTTTACAACTTCATAAAGCGGAAGTGGTGCAAAATTAGATGCCATTAATTACAGAAATAAACTTTCGTCATCAATCTTATTAATACCAAAAAAAAAAAAAAAAAAAAAAAAAGTCCATGCATTGACTTTAGCCATGTCATATTTAAAATTTTTTTCTGAATTATATACTAGGTTAATCCCATATATACAAAAAATTTTTTAGTTTTAATTTGCTAACCCACCGATTATTTTTCACCTTTGTTTTCTAAATCTTCCTTTTCCAATAAATAATCAATATCTCCAACCCGCCAATTCCAATTTAATGTTATATCGTTATGTCCATCTGCTGATTTACTTATCTTTTCCGTAGGTTCAAAATATGGACTCTCGAATCGGAATAATATAATCCTTCTGGTTTTATCATAAATTAATATCTCATTTTTTTCCGATTTCAACGTATATATAACATCCGCATCTACTTCTATGTCCACTTTAAAATTGATAACAGATGCATAATTTTTTGCAGCAGAAAATGAAATTCGAGATTTTCGTTCAATATTGGACATTCCTTCCGAAATTTTTGTAAGTGCAATTTTTGAAGTCATCCATTGAATGATATTATATTCACGATTTGTTATCACCTTTTTAGGAGCAATTGTGAACCAAATATCACGAATACCCAAACCATAAATTTTTAGCAGCTCAATTTTTATTGTGGATTTCTCTTTTTCTATTTTGTCAAATTCGGAAATGTAACGATCGTATAACCTTGGTGTAAATATTTGTTCCAATTGTTCACGATCTGTTGGACTTGATAGTGCGTCGCAGACCTGATATATGGCGAATGTTACTAATTGTTTAAGTAAGACGATTAGGTTATGGACATTATATTATTTTAAACTCTTTAAATCAAAAGAAATCAGAGAGAATTTGTCATGTCCACACGAATTATTCTCGGACTGGGGCGACAACTTTATTCATCATGTAAATTTTTGCTTAAATTCTTTAATAATAATGATAAAACCTACCGCCTATTATAAATTCTTTTGGAAAATATGCGGGTGATGTAGAATCCTTCAACAAACGAAAACCAAACAATTTACAAAGTTCATGCTGTATAAATGTTGGTAACAATGCCAGCAATGAAAATATTATATCGTTTCCTGAATCTGGTATAGGATATGGGTAATTCTTTATCCGTGGCGGTTGATCACCGTGAATCCATGCTTTAAAGACAGTAAGCTATTAATGTTTAACATCTGGCAAAAACTTTATTCTTGACAAATAGACAATATTCGCTTTAAGTACATACGAAAAGTAATTGAAGAACAAGTCTTATCAAGAGGTGGCAATGAATCTATAGGATTATTGACACCAGCAGGTTCTGGGGGCGGGGTAGGTAAAGGATCTATCGGTGGTTCTGGTGGAAACGAACTTGGTGACGAGTATAAAGTTTTTGGTTTAAATTCAGTAGAATAATGTGAAGCAAAAGGTCTTTTAACTCTAGTTATAGCATTAAGTTTTATATAATTTTGTATTTTAAGAATACGGGTTCCTAAAAAAAAAATGTTATGATGGCCCTTGTGCATATTTCGAAACAAGTATAAAGAAAAGGTTTTTAACGTTAAAATTCGAAATAGATTATCTAATTGAATGGCAAATCGGCTTATCGGTTCTATTTGTCTAATTGGCTGATGTAAATCAAAAAAAAAAAATCATACTTGTGAATGGAGCAATGACAGAATTTTCCAAATGCCGACCTAAAAATAACTACGTATTTGTGCTGCCTACTGACTTTAAAAGTACAAATTATATTATCGTTATGGTAAAAGAATAGATAAACTTCAAATGAGTGTGCGAGAGGGAAAAAATCTAATCGCCGATCTTAAAGATTTAGCACTGGGGCGTGACCAATCATAGGATATGACAAATTAGGATATGACAAATAATCATTATTATATAGTTTATGTCATAAATGTTTATTTGTCATACCCTATGATTGGTCACGCACCTGTGCTAAGAAAAGAATTTGGCAGAAAATTGATTTTATATATTATAAATTTTATAATAAATTCTAAGAAAAATAAAAAACTAAAAAATTATACCGATACGTACTGCATTTGTTCCTTAAGTGAAAAATGGTTCCAGACTAATTTTAGATTAGTTAAGCTCAAAAAAAAGTTTTTAAAAAATTGTCAATTTCGACCCTTTTCTCAGCATCTAGCCCATATGTTACCTGCCGTCACACCAACGTCATACTTCTCGCTAAGAATTCTCATCCAAACTAAGTTCAAAAAAATCTGCATTGTTTTCGTTTCCGTGAATACTTGCAAAGTTTTCCATCACGACTTCTTTCCATCATATTTTAACCACTATGGAGTGAAATTAATGTAAAGCGTCAAGTATGTCTTCTTCACTTAATCAATAATGTATGTGAATTGCGAGCTTATAATGTAAAATTAAAACTTTGCGTTTGCTACTTTTATAACGTTAACGTTAATAAAGAGCTAACTTCTACTTACATGCAATTACGTAATGATTCTTAGCCGGCTAAGCCGACGAATTGGCCGACGATCTAGCCGGTCGACCAACAGGTGAGGGATTAGTAACAATAATCCTCCCGTGATCTTGATATGGGGATATAAGCAACCAAAATTTGACCAATTTTTAGAGCCAAAAAATGAGGAGGTTGCTTATATTCAGGGGTAATTTTATTAGTAAAACATAACAACCTTTGTCAAATTTTTAGCGCCAAAATCTGTTGCTTTTATTCGGGGTATTGTAGAAAAAAATTCGCATAATTTCGCATAAACAGGCTTGTGAAGCAGGCAGAATTTGGGGTTTGTCGCAGCAGAAAATCAGTGTGGGTTTCCTGAACTAAACCTAATATCATGTTACACCAACGTTGCACCTGATCTAATGATCTACATAAGAAACTGTCTTTTTTTTTAGACTTGTGTCACTTGCAAAAATAAGTGCACGCGTGGCAAAATTCACGATTCGTCAATTTTTCTCCTTATACCATAACGTAATGAGTACGTTTGAAGAACAAGACTTTAATTCAGATTCGTCAGATTGTTCTGACTTTATCCCAGATGGTAAAGAAGTTACGTTCAAACTTCTAGTTTTTTGAAAACATATACTAACGTTTTCTTGAAATTTAATCGATATGTAAATATTTTAGAAAATGAAATTGAGGGGCCTTCTAATGATAAACTTGTGATGACTAGGAGTAAGAGGAAAAAACTCGAACGTGAAGCCAACGATGACAAACAAACAAAAAGGCTAAGGTATTTGATTAATTTTTCTTTTCCTCATCATAATAGTTTATTAAATACTTATTATTTTGTAGAATTGAAAAAACAGATATAGACGGACAAGTGATCGCTCAACGTAAGGATAAAATTGATGTATTATGGACAGAGTTTAATGAAGATACACAAGAACAGAACACATCAATTTCAAAGGTTGATACATGTATGCATGTATTCTTATTTGATTTGAACTTTGATAACTAATCATAAAATTCTTGTGCCTTAGCCCTCAGATTCGGGCAAAATGATTACTATATCAGAAGTTCGTGAGTTCGCTGGAAAGTTAATAACGTTAGTTAAAGACTTATGAGTTCATTATTCGTTATGTTCAAAATTAATCCGTTTTTAATATCGTCCTAGGATGCATAGGCAAGTACCCGAAGACTCTGAAGATGCTAAAGCTTTCCTTACTAGTCAGATAAAGGATAACAACATAACACAACCAAACCACATGCAAGATGTTTCTTCATCGTTAAAAGAAAAAAATCTTTCAATAAATCAAATTTCATTACCATCGGATTCTTCATCTTCATCTTCATCTATTAAAAAAAGCCAGTCACCTATAGCATCTGCAATTTCAGAGCGTGGAAAATTTGGTAAACCAAAGCCAACCCTTGGGCAACTTGCTGCATCACTTAGTAAAAAACCAAAAAAGCTAAATACTTTGGAGAAATCAAAGATAGATTGGAAACAATACGTAGACAAGGAAGGAATCGCTGATGAACTCAAGTATCATAATAAGAATGGGTACGTTATTTATCCGTAAGGAATTCACAAATTACGTTATATCGAGAGTGGCTCAAATAATATAGCAAGCCCTATATAGATCAGAAGGGTTATCCAAAATGTATAACATAATTTTTGATGTGTGTTGTGATATGGAGGTTGCACAAAGGCTAGTGCCCCTGTTTTTGATATTAAATCGTATTATTATTCTGTTTTACTAGATTCATAGAGAAGCAGGAATTTTTGCAGCGTACTTATGAAGCACAAGATTCTGAGATAAAGGCACTGCGAAGTGGTTCTAAGTAGAGTTTAATACCGGGTTATAGTAAACCGGGTCACCCGTGTCAAAACGGTTCAACCGGGTCAAAAATTTACAACTCGGGTCAAAACGGTTGAATATGTAACCTCTAAAATCTGTTACTATTACACAGAAAACATATCAAAATTTAACACATTATTATTGTATTGTGAATAAACACACTTTTTTTCTTACTAATTTATCTAAATGTTCAACCCGCTAATTTACAAACTTTTGGGGCTACTATACCGATTATCTATTGTGGCGAAAAATTTTCCTTTGTATAAACCTTCATTATTATTTTCTTTGCTAATATGTAATACACTGTTCGACGCTCGATAGTACCCGGGAATTCGTAGCACTGGACAGGACGCGCAAAATTTTGGAAAAAAATAAATACAAATTGCCATTATCTGCCATTGTCCAATTTTATAATGATAATATTTTCATAAAATTCTCAATTTTTATTGGTTAGGATAGAATATTTGATTATTTATTAATCATGTGACTTTGCATCGACTGGACTTCTCGGAAATTTCCGGGATTTTGGAAGGCATTCGGGCATTATCGGAGTAAATGAAAATTAACGTTAGGGTAAGGGTGGGATGATACGTAGAAAGGGTACTATACCGGGTGGGTGAAAAGTCTGGACCCTGTTTTTTTTAAAAAGGGGATTGTTTAGAGACTTTTCCCCATCTAGTATAAAAATAATGAAAAGTTTGTGTGCCACCCGGGGTATACCTCGTTTAAATTAAATAGTAATTTGATGACGCAAATCACCTTAGAGTTAGGGTCAGTCGGTCAATTTAGTATTTAATTTAGACGGGGTGGCAATAAATTATTTACCACCCCCCGGGTGGCACCAAGACGACTCCTAAAAATAAATAGAATTAATTATCATCTGTTTAGGGACTGTTTACCCACCCGGCACATATGGGCTGATTTTTTCGATTTATATAGATCATACCCCAAAAATTGTGTTAATTCTGGTCAAATTTGCAGATCATTTGGCCCTTGGCAATGAGTTTTAAAACTTATTGCCAAGGGCCAAATGATCTGCAAATTTGATCAGAATTAACCCAATTTTTGGGGTATGATCTACATAAATCGAAAAAATCAGCCCATATAATATAGCAAAATTTTGCAAGAAATTTTTTTTATTAAGGCACAAAAGGTGGTTTTATGAAACTTTCTTTAGATTGTTACCAAACAATGTTAGGGCAAAGGATCAATTTCCTGTTTATGTGATTTTTTCAAGATCAACATTGTGTAACGTAAAAAATTCTAAAAACGTTTGTTTTGCAAAAATAGCGTTTATCTCAAAAATTATATTAGTAAATCACTTTTTGGGTTTTAACAAAAAATTCCTCATGCAATGTTATTATAAAAACATTTTTTCTAATCCAATTCCTAATGCAAGTGAATTTTTTGGTTTGAAGACAATTGACTTTGGACAATCACATGAACTGAAAATCAATCCTTCACTTTGTTAATTTTATTGCAAACAAAATTTTCACTAGCACATGATTATATAAATTTATGATACATCGAAAAATTTTTTAAAGTTCATATACATTAGAGTAAAGTTTATATTAAGGTTTAAATTTATAATAGTATATAGTGATTTTAAGAAATAAATGATTTTTAATAAAACAAATATTTTTAATTTTTTTTGATCATATTATATTATATCTGATTTTGAAATATAATTATATATAGATAAAATTCTGGTAGTAATTTAGGGATAGTTAGTATAGTAGACTTTAAGAATAAAGTAAATATATATGATTTTTGTTTGAAATAAAGTAACAAACTTATACAACTCTTTCTGACGATCCTCTGATCAACAACAACAAAAATCGAACTACAGCAAAACGTATAGAAAAGCGACGAAGTGGATACTAAAACTTGGTTCTATAAATAGGAGCAGCTTGTTGTCGACAAAGTCTAAGCATTTAGACGGAAGCAGGCGTCAAAAGAATATAGACAGTTTTCTTTGGGGTCAAGTTTCTTTTTGGCGGACTCCCCAAAGTATTCGGCATCCAAACCAGAAGGTTTATTCTGGGAACAAGTCTGTAGAAGTAGCCAACGTGCACTCCTAAGTGGTAGAAATGGAGAAGCTGGACTATACAACTGTAACTCTATAAAAAGAACCTCACATACTATTGTTGGCTCACCACTTTTTTTCGAGGAAATTTTTGTAAAAAGTGGGCGTTTTAGCTTACCCTCTCCAAATGATCGATATCACGTATACCAAACAAGTCGGCATTGTTTATCTCCCAAATCGGAACATGATAACAAACACGTATACACACGTGCCTCGAATACAATGGATATCCATACAAACGATGCTCCGAGACTTTGTTCCGACCTCTCTACTTTAAGCTAGTCGATGAAGTTTTTCCTATCGGGTTTTTATTTTCGCATACTAGTTTAGAGAAAAATAGAAGTAGAAACTAATTTGTCTAGTCAGTATGTAATTTTTCTAAGCTACTCACAGGCTTACAACCGTGGCATTAAGTTTAGCAAATTTTCTGTTTTGTTTTTGTTTTTTGTTTTTTTCGATATCCCTTTACCCCTTTTCTTTTGTTTTTTGTATTCTTTTATCATAGTCCTCTATACCTCTGTGTTTTTTTTTTTTTTAGTTTGTTTGTTTTTTCTGATTTTGCTTTTTGATGAGCGGGTAGCCGCCAGCCGATGAACAATGGGAAAAAAGTCCTTAGTGAGTTAAGGAACCTAAGGAAGGCCAAGAGCTACTGAGGCAGGTCGCATCTGATGTATAAAATCATATAGGTAAGTTTTTCGTTTGGTTGGATCTACGGTAGTTAGAGATAAATCACTTGTAATTTTTTACTTGTAATTTTAAATAACTTGATCCCAAATAAACAAGGGCAGGACAGCCGAATTAGAAAAAAAAAGTAACAAACTTATACTTCTATATTTTTTAATAATTTTTTTATTTTTATTTTTATTTTTTTTTATACCTTCGCAATGTCGCAGAAGGGTGGATTTTTATTAGGTATTTTAGTAGTATATTCTTGGTTAGCGAGAGTACATATAGCCACATATACAACTTTAAATCGTTTAATTTAAGTAGTCTGCCCGAAAGTTCTACACTATATGCTATACCTATAACCTAACTAGGAGATTACCTATTTAAACCCTCTGACTTCCCAGTCCTGCACCACTACCACAATTACACCAATCCATAACCTTATGCTGCTTCTTATTTGAAGACCACCCAAATCGACATCTGCTATACTACTTATATCCTAATTCTATAGATAACCCAGTAGGGTTCTCATACTACCGGGTTGCCTTAGGGAGGGTGTAGTACATACACCTCTAATCTTTCTATGTCCTACGCATTTCCAGATTAGGCTATGAATACCTTCTGCAGCAGCCAAAACCACCACTAGCAGTCAAGGCGAACCATTAAACTGCACAATTTCAGTATCCGGTGCTCTTGCAAGGTTCGTTCTGATCCCGATACCCACATCAAGCCGGTCCTTATACCAATCTCTCCCCAACTACTAAACCAGTTAGCCCGAACAGGTCATTGTACCTCAGCTTTAAGTGCTTTCCGGTTTTACTTCTCTTGGTTCCTAATTCCGTAGCATAGGATCTTTTCCTCCGGTGCGACTCCGGCGGCCAGGTTGGTGGACCCTTCTTGGTCCAGGGTTTTTGTCCGGTTCTTTGGTCTCTGGTTTCTAACTTTTCCGCAGTATCGTCGAAGATTTTTACTACCTTCTTACTTGGGTCTTGCCAAATGGGTTTCAATTATTCTGGTTCCTTAGATTTGGATCACCCAAGAGCTTTCATTTCAAGATGGTAATACCAAGATTACAGGTAATATACTCAACCGATCATTGAATAATTGTTACCAGAACACAGATCTATTTTTCTAAAAATGTCTTCGGTGGGATTCGAACTCTAGACCTGCCGCTTGGGGGGTGACAACTTAATCACTACTCTAAATCGCTACACCCTTTTTTTAATAATTAATAAGATAATATTTTAATATATTTATTGTAAAACTTTTTTTTCAGTATTAAGATAACTTCTTAAACAAGTATGCTTTATTGTATAGAAATAGTCATAATACATATATATTTGAAAAGTAGAGTTTGGGTTTCATAGTCTAGCAGTTAAGTTTCCAAACTCTTACAAACTAGGTTGACAGTTCAAGTTGTACTGGAGGTTAAATTAATAAAATTTATTTCTATAATTTATAAAAGCTAAATTGAATATAAAGTTTTGTAAAAGTTCATGTATAGTACAAATCCAGAATAATGAGTTTCTATAAGAAAACTAGGTTGTGAAGTATAGATACTGCATGTAATAGTATTTATATAGATATGACCAAAGCTTCAACTTAGTACCTTTAGATATATTAAATTAGCTAACCTGCCTTTATGAAATTACCTTCTTTAGTTAGTTATTTCATAATATCAGAAGTGCTTCTTGTTTAGATAAGACCAATCTTTTATCACAGCTCTTTTATATGTTTATTGCTTTTTTTACTATTCTAGTTTTGATAGTATTATATCATTCTCTCAAGCATGTACCTAACATAGAGGTTGGAACCGGTTTTAATAATTCGGGTTTATCACATGAATTTTGTGATATTTTAGAATTTAATCCAATTAAAATTTAATAAATTTTAAAATATCACAAAATTCACGTGATAAACCTGAATTATTAAAACCGATTCCAACCTCTAACCCAGCATTATTTCCAAA